TTTTTTTTCCTTTTCTCTTTTTCTTTTTCTTAAAGCAAGCCCTTTAACATTTGCTGCAGTGTTGGTTTCGTGTTAACAAACTCCTTTAGCTTTTTCTTGTCTGGAAGTTCCTTATTTCTCCTTTGATTTTAAATGACAGCCTCACTGGGTAAAGTAATCTTGATTGTAGGTCCTTGCTTTTCATCACTTTGAATATTTTATGTCCCTCCTTTCTGACCTGGATTCTAAGGAGTATTCAGATGACAGTCTAATTGTTGCTGCTTTGTAGGTAACTATCTGCTTTTCTCTTGTGGCTTTTAAGATTCTCTCTTTGTTGTTAAGCCTTGTCATTTTAATTGTGATGTATCTTGCTGTAGGCCTCTTTGGGCCCAATTTGTTTTGGGAGTCTCTGAGTTTCCTGGACTTGTCTAACTTTTCCTTCCCCAGATTAGGTAAATTTTCAGTCATTATTTCTTTAGATAGGTTTTTTAATCCCTTGCTAACTCTCTTCTCCTTCTTGTATTCCCATGATGCAGATGTTGTTACACTTCATGTTATACAGGATGTTTCGTAAGCTCTCCTCATTTTTTAAAATTCTCAAGATTCTTTCCTTCTACCTTGTTTTCCAAATCACTGATTCAACCCCCTGCTTCATCTAACGCACTGCTTATTCCTTCTACTGTATTATATCAGATATTGCATTCTTTATTTCTGACTGATCCTTTTTTATGGTTTCTATGTATTTTTTTTATGCTGTTGAGTATCCTTATAATCATTACTCTAAACTCTGATAAATCACTTTCATTTCATCCAGTTCTTCTAGAAAAATTCTCTTGCTCTTTCATTTGGGGTCTACTGTATTTTGCCTTATATAATGCACTCGTATGTATGATACACACCCCCATTTTTGGCCCAATCTTTCAGGAAAAAATCTTTTGTTTTACTTTTCTATTCAATTATTTAGATCTAGAAACAAAACCAATTATCATATTCCAGGATATTATTTTGCAAATGCATATTGTTATTGCCTTCTAGAGTTACATTTTTAATGCATAAGCATAAATAAAATAAGTAAAAACATTTATGTAGATATGGAATTAGTATTACACATGCATAACGTGCATCCTTATTTTCCCCTCAAAACTTTGGGTAAAAAAGTGCACTTATACACAGCAAAATACGGTATTTCTTTTTCTTCCCCTTTTGTTTGCTTCTTTGCATTTTCCACCTTAGATGTTAAATGAGCCACTGAACTGAACAGGTGTTAATATAATCAATATGTAATCAGCAGTCTGGCATAAATACCAGAAGATGGGGCAGAGTGATATCTGTGGGCAGGGCTATTGCTTCCTCTCAGGCTGATGCCATTCAGAGAGGAGTGCTCTGCCTGAGAGAGAGGGCTCCTGCAGTGTGGGGGATGACTCAGCCCAGGGATCCTGGTGGGTGTTTCCTCAGTTACCTCCCCAGAATCTATTTATGTTTTTCTAGTCCACTCTGCCTTCCCTTTGCCGACACCCAAGTTAGGTGGCTGCAAATGAAAATTTGTGCTTTGGCCTTTTAAAAGGCTCTCTGTGTCTCCAGCCATCTCTCCCTGGCTGACAGAACTCCTGCTATTTTCCACAGCTGGATGTTATCTGGGTTTCTTTCTGGCTCTGGTGCTGTAGCCTGGAGAGCCCAGCTTGGAGTTTAGAACACACACTTTTCAGGGTGAACACCCTGGCCACTGAAATATCCCTCCAGCACTTTAGCTGCAACCCATGGGAGTCCAGGCAACCCTGTCACATGTACTCTGCACTCCCTACCAGTCATGCAGTGATGAAGTGTTTTCTTCTGTCTATGGTTGTAAGGCTTCTCTCCAGCTAGTGTTCAGTTTGTTATTCAAGATGAGTTCTCTACAATTTAGTTGTAATTCCAGATTGGTCCTGGGAGGAGTTTACTGTAGCTTTCACTTACTCCTCTGCCATCTTTGATCTCTAAAGCTATATATCTTAACAAAATCCATGTTTTGACAATTTTTTTGTGAACATTATGTGTAATATCGTATTACTACACTGAAATTTCCTTATTATTATTATTTATCATTTGCTTCTTCCAAATTTAATTATTATAAATAATGTCATGGAGTTTCCCTGTGATAATGCTTTTTCTACACTTCTTTAGAATTGATTTTTAGAAACCAGGTGAAAGAAAAACCCAATATATTTAGGCTTACAGTATACATACATATCTCAACTGCTTTCCAAAATTCATACCAGTTTATATCCATGAGCAGTGTAAGAAAATACCTGTTTCTGTATACTTCAATACATCATCTTTCCCTCATGAGGGAATAAGAACTCATTGTAGGTTTAGTAATGGGAGTGATAATATTTGCTATAAAGACTTTGCCCAGTTTTGTGACAGCAATGTACCAACCATTAAATAGGAGTCAAGTTAAATTTTCTTATTCTGGAAGAAAATGTGTTTATCAATCAAAAGAAATAAATTTTTGACCACATCTACTATTAGCAAGGCACTAAGGTATAAAATGGAGAGTACAATGGATTTTTAGAGGCTTATACTTTGGTTGCAAAAGTATAAGCACCAAGGGAGTTCAATAAGAATATGAAATTTAAATAAGTTTTTGAAAATAGCTGAAAAGTTTTTCAAAGTTGGTACAAAGTTATTTTTCAAGGAAGCAATGTGGAAAATGAAGCTTCTACAAGTTCAGAAGAGAAAAAAGTCACTTCAGGTTAGGATAAGATTCATTTCCTATTTACAGAACTCTCTCTCCCTCTAACATATAATAATATAATATATAATCTTATGTATAAGATTATGTATATAATCTTCTAGAAGAGACTTTTCCTGGCATAATTTAAAAATCCTTGAACAATGTCAGAATTTTAAAAATTCTGATGTTTAACTAGTGTTTATATCATTTTACCAGTAATATGATCATTAAACTGGTTTTACTTATACTTCAAAACTCACTTCTAAAAAATTAAGTTGTGATAAATTGTACTAAATACATCCCTGCAGTGAATGGTTAATTGCACATATGTTTCATCTAGTTCTGCATCAGGGCTTTGCTTTTCTAGGTATGGATTTGTGGTTGGGTCATCTATTGTAATGCAATAATGAGTCAATGGGTACTATGTTCTTTTGTCTAGTATCTATTACATAGAAAAATATATTTTTTTGGCTTGTTGAATACTATTCATGGTAAATAAATACCACTATCAACACTGGCAGCCCAGTTTAGTCAATGAGATGAATGAATTTCCATCTCATTAGTTTAAAGAAATCAATTCACTCTTTTCAAAGTCTGAAGTTTATACACATGCAAATTTATGAAATTTAATAAAATAATGGTTTATGGTTGATGAGTTTATGAGATGGGGAAGCTATTATATTAAACTCAAAAAGTTTCAGAATCTGCCACCAAGGCCACAGTTCTATATCCAGAAGACTAAAGATAAAACAGGGAATTCCCATTATCTAAATATTTCTCATCTAAGCAAAACTTCTCATAGCATAAAATATTGACTAATGCATACATCACTCATTAATTGTTCCCTACTCATGTAAGTGTATTCTTCCTGGTTCAACACAAAATCCTGTATTTACCCATTGTGACAAAAGTTTTGTTGGTTGGCCTCTTCTTAATCATTGGATGCTGTTAATGTATCTGTTCCTTTGGGAAGCTATTTATGGCTATACATAACACAATTTGAGGTCTCAAAGTCAGTACTGGAAAAATGCAGAATTTTATGTGATTAATGAAAGTAGTATTCAAATACTTTTCAAATCACGCAAAAGATCAGTTAGATAAGTTGAAAGTGAAATAGGGAAAATCTGTAAAGATTGATTGTGATTCAAAGGGTGCACCAAAGGACAGTAATTTAAATATTAAATAGTTGTAGAAACCATTGGAAAAATTGAAAAAATTCTCTGAATATTTTTTAAAAGATTAAAAAAATTTTTTTGGGGTGCACAAAGGAAAGTAATATAACTATCAAATAACTGGAGAGACTACTGGAAAAATTGAAAAAATTCTCTGAATATTTTTAAAAGATTTTATTTATTTATTTTTAGAGAGAGGGGAAGGGAGAGAGAAAAAGAGGGAAAGAAACATCGATGTGAGAGAGAAACATTAATCAGTTGCCTCTTGCATCCGACCTGACCAGAGATCAAACCTGCAACCCAGGCATGTGCCTTGAGTGGGATTCAAACCGGTGGCCTTTTGCTTTGCGGAATGATCCCCAACCAACTGAGCACACCAGTCAGAGGTCTCTGCACACACCTATGTATATATTTCCCCCTCCCTCAAAAAGACACCTCTTTAAAAGCATGCTAGAAAATTTAACATTAAAGGTAACATTCATATTGTGTTGTCAGCTGTGTTAGAAATTACAAAAAACAAAAATGTTATTCATTCTTTGTTGATTTTCATTATTCCCACAGTTAAAATTTTAACCTGTATTTAAATAGCTTTCAGTTTAATACTTTTCATGATAAAGTCCTATTAAAACTTCCCTTTCCATTCCCACGTCCCCATTATCTACCTTAAATCTTCAGTTCCTATTTCCTTTAGACTCCTTGCCCTTGGTGCCAATTATTCTCAGATAACAACAATAACAATATAGAAAAAGTGATATGTCTTTTTATTCTAAGAATGAGTAGAACCAGATACACTGAATTCTTTGTCAATGCAGATGTAAACCTTAATCAAATGAGCTCATAACAAAGCATTCCATAATTCTGGATCAGTGTTAACAAGGAAAGCAATGTCCATCATCTTCAATGTTTGTTTACATCATGAGAGATTTTAATGCTGAGAGAGTACGGTGCTAGATGAACAAGTGATTAACGCTTATCTAAATAAACAGTGGTCTACAAAGTATGGAAGATTAAAATCAATGAGAAGTTATACAGTTAGTCAGTTTGTCAGCACAGGGATTGAGATGCAGAAGAAATATGGTCATGACTCAGACTAACCTTGGTGTAGTATTTCTCAGTAATTGAAAGTTTGTTTTTTTTCTTATAGCCATTTTTAGGGACCTTAATGCCTTCAATGTCTTTAAGGTTTATAACATGGCTTTGCTATTGCCAACATTCTCTAAATATCTGCAGATATACATTCAAGTAAGAAAACTCATTAGCTGCTTTTGCAATTGAAAAAATTTTAAAAATATATATTAGAAGTCAAATGACATAAATATGGCATAATAGAGCTATCACATGAAGAAAACAAGAATCATTTGGAAAGTGATAAAAATCAATGACAGTTTTACAGAACAGTAAGAAAATATGTTCATTTACTAAAAGGAGAAAAAAAATCTCTACGTTAACTAGTTCAACCATTAAATTAAATGTCAGATTCCATGTTTTTAAGAATACGTTCTAAAAAAAGATTTTGTTTATTTATTTATTTATTTTTAGAGGAGGAGGGAAGGAGACAGAGAGGGAGGAAAAACATCATTGTGTGAGAAACAGTTGCCTCTCACATGCCACCAACCAGGGACTTGGCCCACACAAGCTGGGCATGTGTCCTGACTGGGAATCGAACTGGTGACCTTTTGGTTTAGCGGTGAGTGCTCAATCCACTGAGCCACACTGGCCAGGGCAAGAACAGATACTTTTATCATAATACTTGTAAATTTTTCACTGAAATATAATTGCTAAGTACTATGTGGAAACTTAAAAATATTGATAATAAAAACAAGTGTTTGTGCCCTGGCCGGGTGGCTTGGCTGGTTGGAGCATCGTCCCATACACCAAAAGGTTGCAGGTTCTGTCCCCAGTTGGGGGGTGTATGGAAGGCAACTGATTGATGCTTCTCTTTCACATCAGTGTTTCTCTCTTTCTCTCTCTCATCAATGAATATATCCTTGGGTGAGGATTAAAAAAAAAAGTTAAGACTTATTAAAACTTTAATTATATAGGATTCTAAAGTATAAGTAAAAAAAAATGAGCAAGGAGGCCAGGTATAAGAATGTAGTAGAGTGCTTCCCCCCCATAAGAGGATACTATGGGCATTTGTGGACAGATATTCTGGTTATTTAAGTGAAGCCAGCAATTTGGATTTTAATGTAAAATTTCCTAATTTTGAAAGATTATGTGAGGCTTATGATACAAGCCTGCTGATTGAATCTGGCCAGCAGGCCAGTGGTTGCCAAACCTAGTATAAAGCAATGCTATTTTAGTTATGTATGGGTGATTTATATTTACAGTCAAGAAGGAAAATGTTTCAAACACTCTAGTCCAATTTCTTATGTCAATGCTATTAACACCATTTCTGTTTTAGTAAGTTTACAAGCGAAAATTGTAAGATCTTCTTAATCATGCCTTCATTTCTAAACGGTTTTGTATGGGTTGGAGGCAGAAGACAAAAGAGAAGTTATATGTGTATCTGAACTTGTGAACATTTAGTGAAGAACAGTTAACATTTCAAAAGTATATAACCACAACATAGACTACTTTTGCTGCTTTCCTTCAGTTATTCCTTAGTTATTCAAAATGACAGAATGCTATAAACTGAGCTATTTGTTTCAGGAGCAGATGGGAAAAGTAGCTGCTTTAAAATGTGATTAAAATACGAGGCCTCTGTTTAATATTTATTTTTCTTTTTAAGCTTCAGATTTTAGGCTTACGCAACTTTAATCAAGAGAAGAAGGACCAGGCAGTTGGAGCAGCACTAGTCCACTGCTTATGTCTCTGCATGGGGAATACTGTAACAACAAACACACGATCACAGCAAACAAACAACCAGCTCTATCTTTTGCCAAGGCTGTGAGGAAAATAAAATTGCTCACATACTGTTGCGGACAGTTCAGTGGGGGTGTAAAGTCTTTACAGAGAGGGGCCAATAATTAAAATTAAAAATGCATTTATTATTTGGTATCCACATTACGGTGGTGGTTACATAAATCTATGCATGTGTTAAAATTTATAGAAGAGTATATTAAAAGAAATAAAAAGCCAGTTTTAGTGAATGATAATTAAAAAAACATAAGCTGGTGAGCCTAGCATGTGGGAATCAGGGTTGTGGTCATTATCAGGTTAATAATTACAGCATCTTACTGGTGAGCAGTGCTGACAATTCCCATCCATTTCTCATCTAACTTGATCATTACTCAATTGAGATAGAGACTATTCTCCCATTTTTGCAGCGGAGTACACCAGTCCAGTCCACAGAAGGGGAACTGGCTTGCCCAAAGACACATGCCACAGGAGTGATGAAGCCCAGACAAACGCAGGACTGCCCGCGCAATCCCCCCAACAGGCTCCGTCCCCGTGCCCTGACTGTTGTTTTGAGGTGGTTAAAATAATAAAGAAATGCTTTTAAGAATGCGTTTTCTCTTTGACCCAGTAATACTACCTTTAAAAATGTATCCTGTAGATAGCCTCACATGTACTAAATAATAATATTCAAAGTTTTTCACTGTAGCAGTGTTTGTATCAGGAAAAAAAGAGTGAAAACCACTCAAGTGCTGCTCCTTGAGGGGCTGATTAAATAAACGATGGCCCCTACTTTCCATGGATTACCACACAGCTCTAAGTAGAAATAAAGAAGCTCTCTATGTATTGACATGCAGGCAAAAACAAAGGGAAACTCCAAGAGAAACTATTCAATAAAATAAGCAAAGTGGAAACTATATATAATTATGTATACTGTATAGTATGTATTATATATATGTATACTATATAGCATGCTATATACACACACACATTATATATAATGCTATTATTCAGGTAAGAAAGGTGAGAATATATCTCTATTTCTAACCATTTACATTTTTAAAGTTGTGTGTATGAACAAACACCAGAAGGATACAAAAGAAACTAGTAATAGCTTTGACTAGAGGGGAGTAGTGGTGGGAGCAGACAGGGACACGGGTAGAAGTAAGATGCTCAGTGAATACCTTTTTAATACTGTTTGAGTTATAAACCCTATGCAGAAAGTTAACAAGACACTTGTGAAGGAAAGGTGTTAAATGGCAGTTGAGTAGAGCTATAAGCTAATATACTTTGCTTCCAGAAGCAGCAATTTTACTTTTTGTTAAAAATAGTTTATTTTTATTGTATTTCTTCCATTAACTTCCATTTATTGCCTTTGTACCCTTGTCTACCTTGACACATCCCCTTCTCCCCTCCCTCAACCCGGCCCCCGGCAGTACTCACATTGTTGTCCTGCCCATGAGTACTTTTTCTTTTTTGCTTGATCCCTCCTCCACCCTCCAACAACCTCTCCCCACAGAGCTGTCAGCCTGCTCTCTATCTTTGTGTGTCTCTATTTTGCTTTTTAGTTCATTTTGTTCATTAGATTCATATGAGTGAAATCATATGGTATTTGTCTTTCTTAATCTGGCTTATTTCACTTAGCATAATGTTCTCCAGGTCTATCCATGATGTGGCAAAGGGCAAAATTTTCTTCTTTTTATGGCAGAGTAGTATTGAATTGTATAAATGTAGCACAGTTGTTGTGTCCACTCATGTACTGTTGGACACTTGGGCTGCTTCCAAACCTTGGTTATTGTAAATAATGCTGCAATAAACATAGAGGTGCTTATATTCTTTCAAATTAGTGCTTCATCTTTCTTCAGATCAATTTCCAGAGGTGGAATCGCTGGGTTATAAGGCAGTTCTATTTTTAATTTTTTAAGGAAACTCCACACTGTTTTCCACAGTGGCTGCACCAATCTGAATTCCTGCCAACAGTGCAAAAGGGTTCCCCTATCTCCACATCCTGGCCAGCACTTGCTGTTTGTTGATTTGATGACAGCCATCCTGACACGTGTGAGGTGATATCTCATTGTGGTTTTAATTTGTATTTCTCTGATGATTAGTGACATTGAGTATATTTTTCATATGTCTATTGGCCATCTGTATGTCCTCTTTGGAGAGGTGTCTATTCAGGTTCTTTGCCCATTTTTTAATTTGTGTGATTTTTTGGTGTTGAGTCATATGAGTTCTTTATAAATTTTGGGCATTAGCCCGTTATCAGATGTATTGGCAAATACGTTGTCCTATTTAGGTGGTTGTCTTTTTATTTTGTTGATGGTTTCCTTTGCTGTGCAAAAACTTTTTAGTTTGAGGCAAGGTTGGTACAACATTCACAAATCAATAAATGTGATACGCCATGAAAACAAAATGAAGGATAGAAACCACATGATCACATCATTCAATAGATGCAGAAAAAGCATTTGATAAAATCCAGCACCCATTTAGGATAAAAACTCTCAGCAAAGTGGGAATAGAGGAAACATACCTAAACATAATAAAGGTCATATATGACAAACTCACTGTCAGCATCATACTCAATGGGCAAAAACTCTAAGTGTTTCCCTTAAAATCGGGAGCAAGACAGGGATGTCTGCTTTCATCTCTCTTATTCAACATAGCACTGGAAGTCCTAGCCACAGCAATCAGACAAGAAGAAGAAATAAAAGGCATCTAAATTGGAAAGGAAGAAGTAAAACTGTCATTATTTGCAGATGACATGGTACTGTACATGGAGAACCCTAAAGATTCCACCAAGAAACTACTAGAACTGATAAATGAATTCAGTAAAGTAGCAGGATACAAAAGCAATTTTACTTTAAATGTGTTCTGCTCTAGAAAGAACAAAGTAAAACTTATGTCCCACTTATGGTAGTTTCTGCTACATTTGAGTCTGTAGGAGAAAGGGGAAAACTGTATTGGAGATTTAGGTGAGGAATACATTTCTTGTGACTCAAAATTGAGGAATCAACTAAGGATAAAGAGTTTGGCTTTTAGATTTGTTCAGCAGAGTCCACTAAAGGTATGTAATAACTTTATCTGATTGGGAAGAAAATGCCAGCTCAACTGACTTCAGAACTAAAATTAGGATTCCTTACTTCTGCCTCAAATTGCTAAGAAATAAATATTGTATGCTGTGCTTGAAAAAGCGAAGGAGTCTACAACTTTGGTCTCAGCAGTTAAACTGTCATAAACAAATACTAGATAATATATATTTACTTCACTACCATCATCTAAGAATCATTCTACATAGAATCCTCACTGAGAGTTTTTTGTTATTACAAAACATGCAGGAAGATTGCAAGTGAAACAAACTTTCCAGGCACAGGATTACCTGTTTTCATATAAGCTCCCTAAAGCCTGTAATGAAGACAAACAATCACAG